TTATCAGTTAAGGTCACATAATTTCTTCCTGAATTAACTCAATGCCTGGCTAGTAAGAGTTATAGCAAGCAAGAAAGAATGAATCAGACGAATGGGACATACGACAGTGTCTGATGATGATGTTCATTTTGGGCCAGATTTCACACCCAATTACCACAAGCACACAGTGATTTTGACTTTAAGGAAATTGGTGCAAAATGCCTTTAGAGCTAATTGACCAGTCTACGGGAAGGAATGAGAATAGAAAATATGTTCACTGACACCACAGTAATGCAGTCAGCAAAATTAAGACTGAGGAAAGATACAAGACATTACACTGGTTTCTTCAAATAATAAACAAAATTAAAAGTAATATTCTTCATATTGAGAAAAGACGACAAGAGAAGGAATATACAGACTTCACAGACATAGGCACTACTTGTAATGTTTAGACTTTATTTCCTTTTTTTTTTTTAAGAGATTTTTTTGCTATAGGGTGTGTGCACATGAAAGAAAGCAAGAAATCACCCCCTCACCTGCCCCTTCCCCGGGAGGGATGGCCACACTGTAATCCCTTCTCCTCCATTCTCCTCTCTGGATTTTGGGCACACACACACATGCACCCAGTGTGAGTTCCAAGCCTCCAGGTCCAGGATTCAAACCACAGTCAACTATGTGGGAGCCCAGTAACGTAACCATTACACCATCTGCTGGTCCCATGCTTAGACTTTATTTCTATCCTGATACCTACACTATAAAAAAAAAAAATAGTTTAAATAATATTCTGTAACTAGGGAATTTTGAATACTAACTGAGTTTCTCTTGGATATTAAGAAATCATTATTAATATTTTTAAGTGTGAAATAGTATCTTTTTTTCTGAGCTATGTTTCAGATCTACATACTGAAATACTTATGAGTGACACGGAGCTGGAGGAGCTGCTTCTAATCTTACTCACCTGGTTGTTCACAGAAGGCCACGAACCATGTAGGTTTCTCCACTGGGCTGCTCCTGCCACATCAGCTGGCTTACCCCACACAAATGAGCCCAGTGAAGGTAAAAGTCCAAAAAGGATGCCACCGTGTCTTTTTATAACCTAATCCTGAAAGTGCCACTCCACTACTTTTATCATGTCCTATTGCTCAAATGGGACAACCACAGGATACCATGAGAAGAAAGTGCACAGAGGTGGGACTACCCACAGGTAGAGGTTCTGGTTAACATGAGGGGTATAAAGGAGGGTATAAAATGCCAGGAAGAGAATGAAAGAGAAGGGACTACAGCATGGCCATCCCCTCTTGGGACTGATGTCTCATTTTCTCCCATTGTCTCTCTCCAGCAAGTGCATAAGACCTATGGCAAAAATTATTAAAAAAAATAAAAGCGCTTCTAATTAACAAAAGTATCCTCAAGGACTACATAAAAGATAAAAAGAAAAAGATGCTTAATTAAATGTGCTGAGAGCAATGATATTCTTAGGGGAATTATTAAAATTACAAAAACAACTCTATCAGAAACAATAACAACTGTGGCTTTTAAGACATCTAAAAGGATAAGCTTCACTGTTTGTAAGACAGTTTATCATTTAAAAATAACTGTTTACTTAATTTTATTTATTGTTATTATTTTTTACCTTGACCAGAGAGACAGAGGGAGAGAGAGCGCGAGCGAGCGAGAACAAGCAGGAAAGTGAGAAAGCAAGCTGCCAGGTCCAAGACTCGAACAGTGGTTGGCCATATGGGAGTCCAGCACCATTAACCACCACACCACCTGCCAGCCCCAGTCTGTGCAAATCTAAGAATAGAATTAAGGTTTCCTTTACTGATCACCACTCATCCAGCACACTGGAGAGAGAGAAACTCCCCACCCTTCAGCTTAATTATTACAAGCATAGTATTCAATAGTGACTTTGTTGACTTATTCACAACTATGCCACATAGCAAACTATGATTACTTATATTTTCTTTGAACTTTTTTTTAAAGTTTTCCTTGGAGTTAATGATATAGATGATTATTATTTGCTATGGTTTTTTATGCGCTGTTTATGCATTTAGTCCCAAATTTCTCATCAGCATATTAAGTATCAACTCAACGCTTTCTTCAAGTCTTTCCTGGCACTGGCTGACCTCCTACCATCTGTGTTGGCCACATCTCTGACTCTACTGCTCTTGTCTAAGATCCTCGGAGAGCCCTACCATCTCCCACACATATTGGATCTCCTGTTTTCTGCACTCTGTGTCTTTTCCTTGTTTGATGAAGCACAATCTCTGGTAACTTCCTAGAAATTGATGTGATTTTCATATACTTTTACTATGGTCTAATTCTTTGGCTCATTTTTATGGATAATTTTATTCCAAACATCTTCTTTTTTTCCCCCTCCAAAAGCTCTTTTTCACTTCACTCAGTGAATATTTGAATACTGTCCTATTCTTGCTTTATGGTTGTGTGTTTTCTATTTTACTGGGATTATTAATGACTTCTTTTTAAGTTGTCTTCTTCCTGAATAGTCTAGTCTTTGCTTATTCCAAGTTATATTTTCTTTTTCTTTCTTTGTTTTTTTCTTTTTGGAGAGGTTTTTGCTATAGGGCATGTGTGCTCGCCAGAAAGACAGAGAGACAGAGAGACAAAATGCAAGAAATCACCCCCTAGAGGGGATGGCCACATCGCAATCCCTTCTCCTCCATCTCCTCTTGGGATGTTGGGCATGCACGCACATGTGCCCAACGTGAGTTTAAGCCACTGGATCCAGGATTCAAACTGTGGTCAACCACATGGGAGTTCAGCGACACAGCCATTACGTCAACTGCTGGTCCCCCAAGTTACGTTTTCTCTATTTGTTTTGGATCCTACTTTTCATGTTTGAAGGTTTTTGTGATGTCCAGTATTCTTTGGTTATCAGTTTATTATTAAGAATAGAAGACTGGGGCCACCAGGTGGCATGGTGGTTATGGCCTGGACTCCAACATGGCTGACCACATTTCAAGTTGCCGGCCTGGGGCTTCTCATACTTTCTGTCACTCTCTGGTAAGTTCATATGCCCTATAGAAAATTTAAAGAAATAATAATAGTAATAAATACTAGTTTTATTATTAGCAATAGTATTATAGTATATTATAGCATTATTATAGTAATAAATTAGTAGCATTAATTATAGTATTAACTATAGTATAATATAGTCTAATTATAGTAATAAATATTAGTTTTATTATTTTTTTTTAATTTGACTGGAGAGGGAGAGAAAGAGAGAGAGAGAGAGAGAGAGAGAGACAAAAACTGGCAGTATTCTTTGGTTATCAGTTTATTATTAAGAATAGAAGACTGGGGCCACCAGGTGGCATGGTGGTTATGGCCTGGACTCCAACATGGCTGACCACATTTCAAGTTGCCGGCCTGGGGCTTCTCATACTTTCTGTCACTCTCTGGTAAGTTCATATGCCCTATAGAAAATTTAAAGAAATAATAATAGTAATAAATACTAGTTTTATTATTAGCAATAGTATTATAGTATATTATAGCATTATTATAGTAATAAATTAGTAGCATTAATTATAGTATTAACTATAGTATAATATAGTCTAATTATAAGTAATAAATATTAGTTTTATTTTTTTTTTTAATTTGACTGGAGAGGGAGAGAAAGAGAGAGAGAGAGAGAGAGAGAGAGAGAAAGAAAGTGAGAAAACAAGCCACCAGGCCTGGAACTTGAACTGAGGTTGGCCATGTGGGAGTCCAGTGTCTTAACCACCACACCACCTACCTACCCCAGTAAATAATTCTTTAACAAACAAAAAAAATGGAAGGAAGACCAAAAAGCTGAATGTAAGTTCCAAACATATGAATGGGGCTTATCAACTATGAGTTTCTGTAGCCAATAAGTTGATGAATCTTTGATGGTAATGTCTGTGGGGTTTCTGTTTGTTTGTTTACTCTACCACCAGTCTAATCCTGTTGAGAAAGATCCTTTAATTTCTTCCCTAGAAGAGGAAAGCCTCGATACCAGCATTATAGGAGTCAAAAGGGCAAGGTGGCTAGAACCATAGCAGCCAGGACTCATGTTCACTTAATCCTGTTTTCTATACAGTTCCTGCTTTTAACTGGGCCTTTTGTCCTTCAGACACCTGATAGTATCTTCTTCGCATGGAGTAGCCAGACCTCTTCTATCGATGATAGGAATGTAAACTGGTCCTAGAGGACGGCAACATATGCTAAAGATATATAAATGTATTCCCTTCCCCAGTATATACAAAAGAGAATTGAGTTTAAATCCTCCAAAAGACATACACTAGAATGTCACAATAACTATATAATAGTCAAAATGTGGAAATAACTCAAATGAACTATCAATGTATAAATAAACTATGGTATAGTCACATAACTAACAAATACATTATAGTGGAAAAGGATAAACTTCCGATATGTGCAACAATATGACTCTCAAAGACACAAGAATATATACTGTATGAATCCATTTATAAAAAGTTCAAGGAGACAAAACTCATCCATGCTTAGGGAGGGCAAAACATTGGTTGCCTCTTGTGGTGGGAATATTGACTGGAAAGGTAAAGAGGGGAACTTTCAGGGATTATGAAAATGTTCTGTGTCTTAATTTAGGTGATGGTTACATAGATGTGTATATATAAAATGCTTTAAAATGTACATATACAAAAATTCAGTGAGCTGTACATTTAAGACTGTAATTCACTGCTTCAAGTTATATACAACTTGAATCTTTTTGTACAAAGTTGAGTACATAAATATTTTGTTAATAATGAAGTTTAAAAGTTCTTATTAATCCATTAAGATAAACAATTATTTCCAATGTCTAAAATACATAGTCCTAATGATCAGTAGTATCTTGAGATATTATTTATCGGCACTGAATTATTTTCAGTTAAATGGGTGAGTAGTAACTTAGTGATGTAGTGTTCACTTTAAAAACAATCAGCACTGAAGTACAATTTATTGGGAATTCAGAACATACTTTTCCTTCAAATACCATCAGGACCATGCTCGGTACTTACCCTTCTAACCTAACATCAGGTAAAGATCTGTTGAGTGCTATCATCTCACTTGCCATTAAGTTGAACTGATTGATTTTAAACATCTCTTTCATCTTTTCTTGATCTTCCTTGGGAATGACAACTGGTTTCCCCATTTCTCCGGGACCTTCATGAGGCTTTTGTACTGGCTCTAGAACTAAGAATAAGAAGGAAACTTATTAACTAACAATTTCATACAATTGGTTCACATTTCTAATGTTTAATAACGTGTGAGTTTTAACTGTGCCCTCAACAACCACAGCCATTACTGAGCCCACCTTCTCTTACTCTGCTATCACCTTCGAGGGACCGTCCCATCCTCTATTTCCACACCAGAATCCCAACTGAAGATGGTCTCCTCTTGAGTTACTCACCTGAGTCACTGCAGTGGTAAGGCTCCCATCTCAAATATTATGGTCATATTAACCTCCAAAAATCTTAGCATTCACTGCTATTGCTATGGTCTCCTGGAGTCCAATCTCTTCAATATGCAATTTAACCAAACTTCCAAAATCATCTCACTTGCCATTAAGTTGAACTGATTGATTTTAAACATCTCTTTCATCTTTTCTTGATCTTCCTTGGGAATGACAACTGGTTTCCCCATTTCTCCGGGACCTTCATGAGGCTTTTGTACTGGCTCTAGAACTAAGAATAAGAAGGAAACTTATTAACTAACAATTTCATACAATTGGTTCACATTTCTAATGTTTAATAACGTGTGAGTTTTAACTGTGCCCTCAACAACCACAGCCATTACTGAGCCCACCTTCTCTTACTCTGCTATCACCTTCGAGGGACCGTCCCATCCTCTATTTCCACACCAGAATCCCAACTGAAGATGGTCTCCTCTTGAGTTACTCACCTGAGTCACTGCAGTGGTAAGGCTCCCATCTCAAATATTATGGTCATATTAACCTCCAAAAATCTTAGCATTCACTGCTATTGCTATGGTCTCCTGGAGTCCAATCTCTTCAATATGCAATTTAACCAAACTTCCAAAACTACCACTTGCTAGGTCCTTCTGCCCCACCCAACCTCAGCACTTGAGTCATAAAGTCACTACTTACCTTCAACTGGGCCCCTGCTCTCTTACTTCCCCGTCTTTGTTTACACAGGTCCCCTCCTCACGCATCTTCTTCCCACTTACGTCTGTAATACTAAAGCCCTATTTGTCTTTCCAGGCTCACCCAACAGGACTTCTCTTGCCTGCAGCTTTTCTGAAACTCCATATAGTCTCTAATCAGTTGTAAGCTCTCTCTTTTTTTTTGTTTTTTTGTTTTTGCAGTCAACATCCTTTTATTATTTAATTTCATTTCATCTGTAAACACTTTCAAGTTATTAAGAACACTGGTTTTTGTTTGTTTGTTTTAATGTTATCCTTTTATTAACTTAAGGGCTTCAAGTGCACAACTTACATTGTGTGTCTTTATGATAATTATGACATAAAAGAAGTTTTTCTTTTTTATTATTTTTTTAAATTTACAAAATTGCTTTTTCCAGCATAAATATGGTGCATATTAGTCAAGACAAAGACATTAACATATCCATTATCATCAGCAAATCAATTGCTATCTCCTTATTATGAGTCCTAAACCCTTCTTTGCATGTCCCACCCCATTACCATCTCTTTTAGGCTTGGGTTTATTTGATTCATTCATATATTTTCTCTGGAGTTTAGTATAGTGCCTTATATGAGCTTTGTAACTACCTGCTAAATTAATGTATGAGTAAAACTGATACCTAAAATAAGTCAAGACAAAAAATCCTAGAGGGCCAGTCAGTGGCATGGTGGTTAAGGTGGCTGGGTCCCTCATGACTGACTGAGCGGTTTGACTCCCAGACCTGGTGGTGTCAAAAGCACACAGGGTTTGTATGCATGCATGCCCAAAATCCTGACAGGAGAATGGAGAAGATAAATGGCATGGCCATCCCCCATGGGGTGCTTTCTCACTTCACCTCTTGCTCTCTCTGGCAAGAGTGCATGTGCCTTGAAGCAACTTAAAAAAAAAAAAATCCTAGAGTTGACAATATTAGACATTATAATAAACTTTATGCAAGATAGAACATCATGAAAGATTATTTTAATCAAAAGTAAAGCTACATCGATGCACACACACAGAGTAATATGCCAGATCAGCACTTCTCAGTTGTTCTTTATTATATGCTTTCGAGATGTTAATAAGTGTTTCGAGAAAAACAGGCTCTGGGATATATTAAATTTGGGAAATGCTAAATTAATTCAAATCTAAAAGGAAAATATAGGGACTGAAATGAGGCCAAGAAAAAGATGGAATTAAGTTTTGTGATTACTTATTGTGGTGTGTGTGTGTGCATGTCTGTGTGATGTTTTAGACCAAGGCATGCTATGTCATGACCCTCTCGCCTTAGCCAGGACCAGAGGCACACACTGCCATACCCTGGACTCAGGATCTCGCTATGTTGCCCACACTGGTCACAAGCTTGTGATCCTCCTGCCTCAGCCTCCCAAGAAGCTGAAAGTCATATTCTCCTATAGTTTATATTTCAGGTATCCTGAAAATGTCTCCACATGAAAATAGTGAAATTAAAAAAAAAGCTACCTCGGGGCCGGCAGGTGACATGGTGGTTAAGGGTGCTGGACTCCCACATGGCAAACCGTGGTTTGAATTCTGTACCTGGTGGCTTGCTTTCTTACTTTCTCTCTCTCTCATTCTCACTCACACTCTGTCCCTCTCTGGTCAAATTAAAAAAGAAAAGAAAAAAGCTACCTCTTTGGTTAGGCTTCATCTGCCCCAGAGCAGCACTGGGTGGCAAAGCTGTGCTATGGAAGAACTGCTTCAGATGGTGATAACAAAGCAAGCTACCAATGCTGTAGCTACAGAATATGAAATTACTCATTTTGTTCTCAACGACTACATGCAAAACATGAAAATCTATTTCAGAGAACCATGAGGAAAAACTGATGTAACATAACTTCCCCCACTTCTCAAAATAAACTGATTTTAGAAGGGATACTCAGACATTGGGAAGTAACTTTTAAAATGATAGAAAATGCAAGTAATATACTTTTGAAAAACAAGTCCTAGCCTGGTGATTAAGCCACTGGATTTCCACATGGAAAACCGCAGTGTGAATCCCAGACTCACTGGCTTGAAACTCACTCCAGGTGTGTGTGTGTGTGTATATGTGTGCCTAAAATCCCGAGAAGAGAATGGAGGAAAAGGAATTGTGGCATGGCCATTCTAGCTGGGGGTAATTTCTTACTTTGTCTCTCTCTCTCTGTCTCTCTGTTGAGTGCACATGTCTTATAGTAAAACTCTTTCTTACAAAACAAACAAAAAGTACTTAAGGGCCAGCGAGTGGCATGGTCATTGGGGTGCTGGACTCCCACATGGCTGACTGTGGTTTGAGTTCCAAACCTGGTGACTTGCTTTCTCACTTTCCCTGCCTCGCTCTGTCTCTCTCTACTCTCTGGTGAGCACATGTACCCTATGGCACACCTCCCCCCCCGCCCCTCCCCCGCTGACACACACACACACACACACACACACACACCACACAAACACAACAAATCCTACCACCTAATATTTACCAATTAAAAAAGTTATTTAAATATAAAAGTTGGCAGAATTTTAAAAACATTCTCCATAAGTGTAATAAAAACTATAATTAAATATAATAATCCACATAATAAAAATAAGCTTTTAAAACTTTAAAAATCATAAATTATAGGGACCAGCGGGTGGCGTGGTGGTTAAGGCACTGGATGCTCCCACATGGCTGACCATGGTTCAAGTCTTGGACCTGGTGGGGTGCTTTCTCATCTTCTCTCTCACTTTCTGTCTGTGTGTATCTCTCTGGTCAAATTAAAAATGAATGAATGAATAAATAGAGTTCAATAAATAATTTTTTTAAAATAATAAATTTTAAATCTCTTAAGAATCATTTCTATTTACTCACCTGTCTTTACTGCTCTCTTTTTTGTTGTTGTTAAGATTTTTGCCATAGGGCATATGTGCTCACCAGAGAGAGAGAGAGATAGTAAGAGGGAAAGTGAGAAATCATAGCTCCCCTCCCCCCCCCAGGGAGATGGTCATATCCACGTCACAATCCCTTCTCCATTCTCTTCACATGCACATGTGCTCAGCATAATTTTTAAGACCCTAGGTCCAGAACCCGAACCATGGTCAACCACGTGGGAGTCTAGCTTCTTAACTACCAATCCACTTGCTGGCCCTCTTACCTGTATTTAAAAGTTAAGAACAATCAACAGATTTGGGAATTGGTACAGTCAGGGGTCAACAGGAAGCAGCAAAGCTGTGGAGGTGACAATGACCCTTTTTGGATGGCACAGAAACAATGAGGAGACATCCGATGGCCCTGATTATAAACACCCTTCACTGGGGCCAGCAGATGGAATAATGGTGACATCACTGGATTCCCACCTGGCCAACAGTGGTTCAAATCCTGGACTGGGAGGCTTAAAACACACCAGGCATGTGTGCATGTGTGCCCAAAACCTCAAGAGGAGAATGGAGAAGGGATTGTGGTGTGGCCATGCCCCAGGTGGGTAATTTCTCACTTTCTGTCTCTCCAGCAAGTGCACACACCCTACAGCAAAAATATCTCTAAAAAATAAATATATACATACACACACACACACGCGCGGCTACTTGTGCCCTATTTTAGAATAAGATGGTGCATTCAAGTTAAAATATTGATAGAAGCACTTTCACAAAGCTTGGTTTTAAAATTAAGAGTACTGAGTTATACATAATCTACAATGTATTTTTTGCTAGGGGGAATAAAAGTTCCTGAATCTGATCAAGCCCTCCACTCAGCTACTGACTTACAGGAAATACAGGGGCAGAGGGATATAATAAACAGCAGCAGGCCCAGCCATGGCATAGCAGCAGGGCAAGCATGGCATGATGTCGGAGCCATGTGAAAGAGTAGGGGTTCAGCTCCAGTAGACCTATACATGGTAAGTAAGCACATGTGCCATGGTCCTGGCTGGCTGGGAGGACTGACAGTAAGACTGTAGTGTGAGACCGTATTGGAAATGCTGGTCTTTGTCTCTCTCTCCAGACTGATAGACAGACTTTAAAAACCAACCACAAGGGTTGGCATGGTGGGTGGGGCACTGTACTCCCTCATGGCCGACCAAGGTTCAAG